GAGCAGTAGGGGCGAGGACGCCAGCTTTCGGAACTCCACGCAGATTTCCTGGGTAGGCGCTCGAGCCCCCATGCGGCGCCTCCGGCGGCGCCTCCGGGGCGCTCCGCTTGCCAGGCTCAGGTCCAAGAAGCCCGCGCGGAGGTCCGAACGTTTGTGTTCCCAACCATCCTGTGGAGTCGGGTTCTTCGTCGCGGATGCTGTTTTCTTCCCAACCATCCTGTGAAGTTGGGTCCGCGTTTTAAAGGGACAGCACCCCCCGTCTCCTTCCTCCTCCCCCCTCCCTCCTCCTCCCTCCTCCCTCCTCCCATCCCTGTCTCTCACCTCCGCGCCAGTCAACCGTTTCGGTGCACCCCTCACACGTTGCGTGGCCCCATGAGGGGCTCCACCGAAGGCCTCAGAGGTAGCGCCCGCATGCAGTTGCACCTTCCTGGTAGTTTCGTAGGCCGACAGGGAGCTCCACCGATGGCCCCATTGACAGCGCCCGCATGTGTACCCCTCACACGTGTCGTGTTCACATGAGAAGCCCAACAGAAGGTCCCAGTTGTAGCGCCCGCATGGAGTTCCACCCGCCATTTCGGTGCACACCTCGAATGGTTCGTGGCGCCACGGGGAGCTCCACCGAGAGCCCCAGTGGCAACGCCCGCATGCGGTTCCATTGTTGTTCGTTGTCCCATACGCGGCTACACCGAAGGTCCCAGTGGCAGCGCCGGCCTGTGGTTCCATCCTCATGTCCTCACACCCCTCACAGGTATCGTGGCCCCATATGGAGCTCCACCGAAAGCCCCAGTGGCAGCGCCCGCACGCGGTTCCACCCCCATTTCGGCGACCCCTTCACACGCTTCGTGGCCCTATGCGGGGCTCAACCGAAGGCCCCACTGGCAGCGCCCGCATGCGGTTGTATCTTCCATGTCGGAGCATTCCTCACACGTTTCGTGGCCACATCGGGAGCCCCACTGAAGGCCCCAGTGGCAGCTTCCGCTTTGGGGTGCATCGGACATCTTGGTGCACTTGTCACACGGTTCGTGGCCCCATAGAGAGCTCTACCGAAGGCCCCAGTGGCAACGCCCGCATGCGGTTCCACTTTCAATTGCGGCGAACCTTCACACGTTTCGTGGCCCCATGGGGAGCTCCACCGAAGGCCCCAGTGGCAGCGCCCGCACGCGGTTCCACCTTCCATTTCGGGGACCCCCTCACACGTTCCGTGATCCGATGGGGAGCTCCACCGAAGGTCCCACTGGCAGCGTCCGCATGGGGTTCCACCCCCATTTCGGCACACCCCTCACTTGTTTCATGACCCCATAGGGAGCTCAACCGAAGGCTCCAGTAACAGCGCCCGCATGTAGTTCCACCTTGAGTTTCGGCGACCCCGTCATACATTCCGTGGCCCGGTAGGGCTTTGCCAAAGGGAGCTCCACCGAGGGTCCAGAGGCAACGCCTGCATGCGGTCCCACCCGCCATTTCGGCATACCTCTGACACGTTCAGTGGCACCATTTTCACCTCCACCGACGGCCCCAGTGGCCCATTTGCTAGGGCGCCCTCGAGGGCGCGAAGTGATTCGCGCTTCGCGGTTCGGCTCCGATTCCTCCTCATCCTCCTCTTCTCCCCTGGGAGGCGGCGCGAGAGCGCGAAGTTGGGAGCCATTGATCTTCATCTCCACCGACGGCCTCAGTGGCCCATTTGGCCAGCGCCCCTCCTCCATTTCATTATTCTCGCGATGCTCGAAGGCCCCAGTGGCAGCGCCCGCATGGTGGCACTGCCACACTTCGGCACACCCTGCACGCGCTTCGTGGCCCCACAAGGAGATCGCCTGAAGACGGCACCCACAACGACGGTACTAACAGTTGCATATGGTTGGGTCTCCCGTCAGGCTAATTTGTTCGTCTATGTGGAAATGCCTCGCCATTTGCGTCGCGTCTTGGCTTTGAGATAATGCAGTCGGGCCGCTGAATCATACACACTTGTTCGTTGGGGAGGGGCTGGGTGTGCCATCATTGTCTTGCAGTCTGTCTTGGGTGTTCCTCAGGCTTTCGCGATCGGACGGCGAAGCTTCACTTACAACAGAAGGGCCTCGTTCCTCATGTAGGGCTCCCTAGGGCAAGCGTTCGGCTGCAGCCTGGGGTTCGGGGGGCAGGTGTCTCGCCGCCACTTCTCCATGAGCAGGCGGGTGGCTTCTCACAACTCGGGGGTCCACTGCAGGGGCCCCCCTACGAAGATGGAGGCCTTCCAGGAGTTGTTCTTCTGCGACGTCGTCGTGGCGCGCCCCGTAGGCCCTGGTCCCAAGACCCCCCCCCCCGAAGCGTCGTTGCTCGATGTTGTCTCAAGATTTCCCCAAGCGAGCCCCAGTCTTCCAATCGAGGCCAGGAGACCCCCAGGACGTATCCAGACGGCTCAAAAGGCCCCCAGAGAGCCACAGTACCTCTAGAGGTTCCCACATGCCCCCCAGGAGGGCGCCAGGATGGCGTCAGAGGGCACCAAGAGGAAGAGGCTGTCTGTGGTTTCAAGAGGCCTCCAAGAGGCACCAAACGGTTCCCTCCCAAATACCTTCAGTGAGTTTCAAGGGGCTCCCGAGCAAAAGCCATGAACAGCCGAATCCGGCCCAAAAGGGGCCCAAGACACCCCGAATGCAGGCCAAGAGGGCCTCGAGAACACCCCCACTGGGCACCCAACACAAACACATTCTCCTCTCCGCCGACGATGTGAATCACGATGGTGACTTCAACCTTCGAGCAGAACCGTGGAATTGCGCTCAGCGCCCGTGACATCCCGAGTGAGGAGCAGGTCGAACCGAGCCATGGAGGAACACAATACGCGGGAGATGAGGTCGTCGGATTGTTGGTCTAGCGAATCACATCAGCATGGCGTCGGTCAATCAATCGCGAAGCGATCAGAAGGTGCCCTCTTCGCAATGCCACGGTGACATCCTGTGTCAGACTCAGGACACCATGATTCATCATGCTGGAGCGTGCTATCACCTAAATGGTATTTCCCTGATGGAGGTAAATGGTAAAGGTGCAGTTTGGGTCGAGCTGGGGGTGGAGCTCATCACAGACCAGGGCGGACTGGGCTGGGCGATTGGGCTATGGGGATGCTGGTGATGGTGATGGCGGCGGTATTTGGGAAGCTCGTCTTATCTTCTGAAGTGACTGATTGATTCGATGCTCGTTTTGGGGACCTTCCTGGTGCCCACCTAAATTCGACCAAGTTCGACCTTAATTCGACTCAGGTTCGACTCAAGTTCGACGCAAGTTTGACTCAGGTTCGACTCAGGTTCGACTCAGGGTCGACCCAACTCGACTGACGTTCGACGCAGCTTCGACGCACGAGTGGAGCGAGTGGCTCCAGGAAGGTCCCCAGAACGAGCATTCAAGATTGGAAAGAGCGTGTTCTACCCGGTGCTGGCGGAAAGCCGGAGGGGGTCACTACCAGTTCGAACCCCTCCCCCCCCTCCCCCTCCGGAAAACCGAGGGGGGTCACTTCCGGTTCGAACCCCTCCCCCCCCCCCAGTTCATCATGAAAAGGGGGGGGGGTCACTACCGGTTCGAACCCCCCCCCCCCCTCGAACTCGAAAACCCGGGGGGGGTCACTACCGGTTCGAACCCCCCCACCCCCCAGAAAACCGAGGGGGGGTGCGGACAGTGGTGGGGACGGCGGTGGTGGGGACAGTGGTGAGGGGACAGCGGGACAGTGGTGGGGACAGTGGGACAGTGGTGGGACGGTGGTGGTGGGGACAATGGTGAGGACAATGGTGGGAACAGTGGGGACAGTGGGACAGTGGTGGGGACGGTGGTGGTGGGGACAGTGGTGTGGTGACAGTGGGAATGTGGTGGAAACAGTGGTGGTGGGGACAGTGGTGGGGGGTACAGTGGTGGTGGGGACAGTGGTGAAGGCGGAGGCGAGGACGGCGGTGGGACAATGGGACAGAGGTACAGTGGGGACTGGTGGGGACAGTGGGGACAGTGGTGGGAACAGTGGGACAGCTCAGTGGTTCGAACCGGTAGTGACCCCCCCCTCTGGTTTTCGAGGGGGGGGGGGCGGTTCGAACCGGTAGTGACCCCCCCCCGGTTTTCGAGTTCGAGGGGGGGGGGGGGTACGGGAGGGGGGGGGTTTTGCCGGGGGAAGGGGTGGGGGGGGGTCCAGCAGGGGGGGGATTTTCGGAGGGGGAGGGGGGGGGACCCCCGGGTTCCAGAGGAAAAGGGCGGGAATTTTCCATAGTAAAGCGGCGGTGGATCACGCTCTCTCCAAGATTGAGACATCCAGCATTCCCATCCGGTCTTCGATGAATCCCAGTCGCCAGTTCAAAGAGCTCACCCTTCGGATCCGATGCAGATGACACGTCGGGATCAGGGCAACGTGTCCTCAGGTTTGGCTTGACTTGCCACGAGTCTTTGTACTTCGCCATACGAACTATCCTAGACGGCCCCATATCTATGAACTATCCTAGACGGCCCCATATCTATGGGCGGGACCTGCACGAGCTGGGAAGCATTGCCACCACTTGGGTCCCCACTTCCCTGCGTACTCACTCCCCTTCCCCGTGTCTTGTTCTTTAACGTTGTTGCGCCTATCTTCTCGAGTGCCGTCTTGTCTTTATCGCTCTTATGGCGCCTTGTCGGTTCGAAATGGCAGAGATTATCCCAGGAAGATGGCGGGGTTGTTTGGACTCGTGCCTTGAGATGTGCCACGTCACAGGCTTCTGTCCACCTCAGCCACTCCCTGCTGCTTCCTTTCGGCGCTGAACAGGCTTTCGCAAGGTGCTTCCACGGTGATGTCAAGGGGATGTCTCGGTTCCCTTGGCCTTCCTCCTACAGCGCCGGTTTTAATGCATGCTCCTCGTGCCGATCATATATTAACATAAAGGGATTTAGTGTTAAAACAATGATGAATGCATGCATTGATTTATCAGTAAATTGATCATGCATTAAAGATCCAATGTATTAAACATCCTATGTATTAAAACCTGCCCTGTACCCCTCCAGCGCTCCTGCCGGACGGGGCCGAGGTCGGACGCCTGCGCGAGCAGCGCCCAGCCTGTGAGCCATGGTGGAGCCAGAGCCCGAGGCCTCCGACCCGCAGCCGCCCGCGCCCGGCACGCCTGCGCACCACTGTGGCTGGCACACTTTTTTCGGGGGCGGCAAAGAGGGGGGTGATGACTACGGGGGGGGACATTATGGCGGGGGCCATGATATTTCCCCAGATCTCATGGCGCCTCTTCTCATTCCATTACGTCCCTGGCCCCCCCGCTGGGCCGCGCACATGCCGCCGGCCATGATTTGCACCCCCCCCCCTCTTGGACACCCCCCTCTTGGCCGCTCCCGGATAGTTATTGATGCTTCGCCTAAGCATCTCCAGGTGTGCGCAGTTTTCCCCGACCATCTTGTGGAGCTGGGTCCTGGTTTCGAGGAGACGGCGCCCTGCGTCTCCTTCCTTCCTTCCTTCCTTCCTTCCTCCCCTCCTCCTCCTCCTCCTCCTCCTTCCTCCTCCTCCTCCTCCTCCTCCTCCTCCTCCTCCTCCTCCTCCTCCTCCTCCTCCTCCTCCTCCTCCTCCTCCTCCTCCTCCTCCTCCTCCTCCCCCCCCTTCCCTCCTATCCCTGTCTCTGCCCGCCGCGTCAGTCAATCATTTCGGTGCACCCCTCACACGTTTCGTGATCCCATAGGGAGCTCCACCGAAGGCCCAAGTGGCAGCGCCCGCATGCGGTTCCACTCTCATTTCGGTGCACCCCATAACACGCTTCATGGCCACAGGGAGCCCCACCAAAGGCCACAGTGACAGCGCCCGCATGCGGTTCCAGCCCCATTTCGCCCCCCCCTCAAACGTTTCGTGGCCCATATGGAGCTCAACCGATGGCCCCAGTTGCAGCGCCCGCTTGCGGTTTCACCTTCCCTTTCGGCACACCCCTCACACGCTTCGTGGCCACATAGGGAGCTTCACCGAAGGCCCCAGTGGCAACGCCCGCATACGGTTCCACGCTCCATTGTGGCTAACCCCATCACACGTTGTGGCCCCATAAGAGGGAGCCCGACCGAGGGCCCCACTGGCAGCGCCCGCATGCTTTTCCACCGCCATTTCGGCACACCCCTCGTACGCTCCGTAGCCCCATAGGGAGCTCCACTAAAGGCAAGGCCCCCTTGGCAGCGCCCGCATGCAGTTTCACCTTGATTTTGGTGCACACCTCTCACGTTTCATGGCCACACAGGGAGCTCCACCGAAGGCCACGGGGGCAGCGACCGCAGGCAGTTCCAGCGCCCGCATGCGGTTCCACCCTCCGTGTCGGTGCACCCCTCGCACGTCTCGTGGCCCCTAGGGAGCTCCGCCTAAGGTCCAAGTGGCAACGCCCGCGTGCGGTTCCACCCGCAATTTCGGTGCATCGCTCAAGCAGTTCAGTGGCCTCACCGGGAGCTCCACCGAGAGCCCCAGTGGCAACGCCCGCCTGCGGTTCCGCCCGTCATTTCGGCACACGCCCCTCACACGTTTGGGGGTGCCCCATAGGGAGCCCCACCGAAGGCCACAGGGGCAGCGCCCGCATGCGGGTCCACCTTCCGCGCCGACGACCCCCTCACGCATTCCGTGATCCGATGGGGCTCGGCCGCAGGAAGTTCCACCTGAGGTTCCAGCGGCACCGCCCGCATGAGATTCCACCCTCTACTTCGGCACACCCCTCACACGTGTCGTGGACCCATTGTCGCCTGCCAGGTCGGCCGAGGAATGGATAATAAGGGGAGAGACGTGAAGAGGGCGGGAGGTGCGACGGGCTCGACACCCGAACGACGACGAGCGAAAAAGAAAGACGATGTTGCGACCATCAGCGATGAGGAAATGGACCTGCAAATCGCGACACTCACTGACGAGGAACCCCCAAACTGGTTGAAGGCTTTTGAAGAACGGCAGGATAAGAAGTTCCAAAAAGTGTTATCAAACATCGACACGTTGAGTGAGGAAGTGAAGCAAGCTAGGACGGAGGCGCAGCAGGCTCTCCAGGAGACGTCCGAGCTGCATGACAAGGTGGACGAGCTCGATGTGGATGTCGCTGCCATCAAGCAGGACCTCGAAGACATTGACGTCACGAAGGACATGATGAGGAAGACCGTGCAGGATATCGTAGAGCTCTCTCGGGGGACAAGCCGCTGGAACCACAGAGGTCGAGGGGGACAGGGAGTTGCAGATCCTCGCCGGGGGGTCCCATGCCGACTCGGACGCGGAACGCATCGTTAACAGCATCGACTCGTTCCTATCACAGGGCACCCGGAAGCACAAAGTGGTTAAGGTGGATACCTTTGCCGACCTGGCGAAGTTCGGCTACATCCAGTTCGAGAATATTAAGGCCAAGACGGGCTTCTACCGGAAGATCCGCGACGCAGACAAAACAGTGGCAGGCACGGAGCCCTGGTTCAAGAACAACCAAACCAGACGTACGAGGAGATGCTTCGGGATAAAACCCTGGGCATGATCAAGCGTTACCTTATCGAGCGCAAGGGGCACTCGAAACAGGACGTGCGGATCATCTGGCCCAAAGGCGTTGTCGAGATCAATTTCAAGAGCGTTGCATGGGTCACGGACGACAGCGAGGTGCATGCGACAGAGGAGGAGGAGGCAATGAAGGAGGCTGTAGGGAAATCTGTGAAGGAATGGTGGGCTAAACGAGAGTAGGGCCTACAACACGGCAGGCCCGGTACACGCACAAGGCTTGCATTGTCATCGAAGGTCAGTTTTGCCGCTGCTGGGGCTGGGCCCAATGAGGACCAGACGCATTTCCCGGTTGTGATGTTAAGTAAGAACGTGCAGTCAATAATGAGGGAAGCCCGCTTCACATATTTATTGGTTGAGGTAGATAGTATACCAAAGTGGGATGTGATTTTGCTCAACGAGACATGGCAGGAGGCTACCGAGGAACAGTTTGTTTTGGAGAGTGGTCATGTTTTCTGTGGCTCTGGAGGGGCTCCAGGGAGAAATGGGGTGGCGATTCTTTTGCATTCGCGATGGTCGTCTTCAATGCTTTCTTGTACGGCGCTCTCGGACCGTGTTTGCTGGATGGACGTGGTTTTCGGCCTCAGTCGCATGCGAATCGTGTCTGTTTACTTGCCAAATGCTTTCTTGCCAGACGCAGAGGTGGAGGTCGTGCGCAATGCTCTGTCCAAGTGCAAAGCTGACGCAGACAAAAACAAGCTTGTGTATATTGTTGGTGGGGATTGGAACGCTGTGATTGGAGCTCAAGCAGAGTATCTTGCTGACGATTATGTGGGCGAGCGCGGGGTAGGACAAGCAAATGGCAGGGGCTTATGGATGGCATCTTGGGCCCTGTCTGAGCGCGCGGCAGTGGTCAGCGCGTTTGTCCCAAGACAGTTTGACCAACCGTGGACGCACATCCACGCAGGAGTTCGTCGTCAAATTGATTACTTTTACATTGGCACGGGCGCTCTGGATATGGTCGCAGACACAGGGGCCACCAAAGACATCAACGTCGGAGCCGACCACAGATCTGCATCTTTGAAACTCAGAGCTCGCATGGGCGACAAGCGAAACAAGCCAAAGCCCAGTGGAATACGATGGCCACCTCCATCTGCAAGCTTGATCTCCGAGACCGTTGAAAGCAACATCGAAGAACACCGCCCAGAAAGAGCAAATCCGTCTCACATAGAAGACGCATGCCACAGCATGGAGTGTTCGCTTGTGCAATCACTGGCAGGTACTTGCGCGCAGCCTGAGCAAGCCAAGAGCAAGCCTGGGCGTTGGAATGCGGAAATTCGCAGGCTTATTGCTGATAGGCGAAGAGCACGACGCGAAGCCACAGGGGCGCAGCATCGGCCAGTGAAGGTGATCAGCAAAGAGTCACAGAAGGAACTGCGGAAGTTTGAACGGGCACAGAAGCAAAACGGCATCGGCAGGTTTTTCCAGACTTTCCGCGGCCGTCGGGCCCCCCGGGCTATCCGCGCCAAGAGGCGCAAGGCGCGGCTCAGCAGCGTGACTGACCACGAGGGGCGAGAGCAGACAGAAAGGCAAGCTATAGTAAATGTCTCTGCTACGTTTTACGAGGACTTGTATTCGCAGCGGCACTGCCCTGACCAGCCAGGCGAACCAGTTCAGCACGCCCAGGTTGGCGCCGTGATTCTGCCCGTAACGGCGCAGGAAGTGAATCGACAAGCCAAACGTTTCAAGAAGGGGAAGGCCGCTGACAGCGAAGGCATGGTGGCAGACATGGTAAAGTGCGGAGGGCCTCTGTTCATCGAGGCTATAGCGGCGCTTTTCAACGATGGCCTGGCCGAAGAGAAGGTGCCGCCTGCGTCGTGGAAGCACTCCCGCGTCGCGGTGCTGTTCAAGAAGGGCGGCCCGAAGCTGCCGCATAATTACCGACCAATATCAATATTGCCAATATTATACAAGTTGTTCAGCATGGTGTTGCTTGAGCGGCTGCAGGCATATTTAGAAGTGCAACAATCTGCCGACCGAGCCGGATTTCGCAGAAAGGTTTTGCTTGCGATGACCACCTTCTCACATTAGTGCAATTGCAGGAGAAATTCAATGAATTCGGCATGGACATTTGGATCGCAGCGGTAGACTTCGAGAAGGCTTTCGACTCCTCGCGCAAGAGCCTCTGGGAAGCTCTGCGCGCGCGACAAGTCCCAGAGCAATGTGTTCGAGTCCTCTCGCGTCCGTGCGCAGGGCAGACGGCCCGGGCGTGCTCCGACTGCAACAGTCGAGTATCTCGCCTCGAGAGAGGGGCGCGGCAGGGAGATCCGCTGAGTCCAGCTCTGTTCAATTCCCACCTGGAGCATATCCTGAGAGATCTGAAACAAACTTGGCGCAAACTTCGGCGTGGGATACGCGTCGACGGCGCGTTCTTGACCAACCTTCGATTTGCCGACGACGTACTGCCAAGGGCAGACGTCCGACACATGCTGCGTGACCTACAGTCAGTGGCCGGCGCGCGCGGGCTGAAGCTCCACGCGGGCAAGACCAAGATTCTGTCGAATGTCGAGGTCGGGAAGGGCGTTCTCAGGCAAGGAAGCGTGAAGGTGGGACCGCAGTGCACCTGGGAAGATTGGTCTCCTTCGGTGACATTCACG